CCCCCCCCCCCCCCCCGGTCCTTGCAAAAATTTTCTGCTTGAAACCGGTCCCTGGTACGAAAAAGGTTGGGGACCACTGAGCTAGAGAACCGTATTTAAATCACATATCATGGGCAGATATTGTATAATATACTTGATTTGTTAATCACTGAAAGAACTAGATACCACAGGTTGCTATACTGAGGATATGAATCAATTTGTAGTCTCAGCATAAATCATAAATCTTTACAGGGCCTGTTATTATTAACCAAATATAACTTCTCAATGATATAAGATGACAGTTCTGCTGATTGATTATGTTATCAACATAATGTCAAACTATGGCAGTTAAAAATAAATAAATAAAACCTAAGATTTTTTAATCCTAGTGATAGATGTGCATGCTATATGCCAAAACATAAAAACCAAATCAGTGTTCCTTATATTTAAGGGCCATAATACTTGGGGTGAAGCATGCTTAAGATGTGAAAACAAATATTTAGAACTATACTCAATAAGAACACTTAGCAATGAATAAGGTAAAAGAAGTACAGTTTTTCATCACAAACCAAATATTAACACAATTGTGTTGGCAATAAATGACAGAATTTGCTTTAGCTTTTTTGTCTGTGTGAAATGTGTTCAAGAGTGCTCTTCCAGTTATAACAGATTCATCCCTTTTCATTAATATACGCTTAATTTTCCACAGCTCATGTAATAGAAAAATAATACAGGTTTTGAGGTGGAAAAGGATAGAACATCTATCAAATTAGAGCAAAGCAAACTAGAAAATTTTGCAAATTAGAAAATGTATCTTTAGGGAACCTTCATATGATTCTTAATTGGAAGTGTAGAAATGGTTATTGTGATTTAATTTCTCACATGACGGAAAGGCTCCCACTGAAAATTGTTTGTACAGTATCTTAGCTTTTCCAAATTGTTCTTTTGATTTTAAAATGACCAATTTTAAAGTATATCTCAGTAGATTTGTCATTCTGTGCATCTTTAAAAATTGTACAAATAGCACTTGGCTTCAGTAGACCTTCTGTGTGGAGAATAATCACAAATATCACACTTGCTCACAAAGTTAATAGAGAAATTTAAATTTCCTATGAAACATGAAGAACAAAAAGTTGACAATTTACTCTTCATTTAATTTTATATTTTTTTGAAATGATTATTGTCTCTATTTTCTAATATTTTCTCCTTATGATTATCATGGCTCTTTTTTAGAATATTTAATTTATTAAAAAAATTAAAATACAAAGCACCAGAATATTTTTAAAAACATTTAAAAAGTGTCTTAAAAAAGATTAACACATATGCACATAACATCCTCCCTAGTTGAATGCTGATAAATATAATACAACCATGTTATTTTCCCACCCCTTACAAAACAGGCCAAAATAATTTTAAACTACTAAATCTGTTTACAAATTGTTAGCCTGTCATCTACTATATCAGTAACAAAATAGTTAAAAGCAAAAACAATAGTAATATATAAAATGATAAGAGTTTATCAATAATAATGGGGAAAAATGACAAGATTAAAATTCCAAAACCCTTTGTTAACGAACTGTTGTTATAATCAACTCATAGAAAATTTACCACAGTTTCAATCCAAAACCATCCCCCAAAATTAAGCTTAATTGATTCCGGGTCAAATATCCATGTTTGTTTCTTAATGCCATCTCTTATAAATTGCTGATTGATTAAATACAATAAATCCAATCTTCAAAGCCAATCTATCTTCCCAAAAACCCCCAGATGCGACCATTCCCCAATTAAATGTACTAAGTTTCTCCATTTTCTTTCACGTTGGCCCTAGAAAAAAGTCACTTAGGACCATTTTTCACACTTATAACCATTGCAGGATTCCCATGGTCACATGGTCAAAGTTTAGATGCTTGGCAACTGACTCATATTTATGACGGTTGCAGTATGACAAAGACCTGACAAAGAAAGTCAATGGAGAAGTCAGATTCACTTAACAACTGGGTTACTAACTTAACAAGTGCAGTGATCCACTGAACAGTTGTGGTCAGAAAAGTCATAAAATGGGGCAAAATTTACATAACAACTAGCTCACTTAGCAACATAAATTTTGGGCTCAGTTGAGGTCATAAGTCCTCAACAGTCAACTTGCTGCAGCCAACTCGCTGTGAGACAAGAGTTACACTAATACCAAAGAAATTGTGGAATAGAATCATTAAAGAAAGGATGCAAAAGGAGGGACAGGATGGAATGTGAATGACAAAAATTAAAAATATTTTTATTTATTTATTTGAAATAATTAAATAGAATTGTTGAATTGTCCCTGTGAGTTGTCCAGTAAAGCTGACCCTTTAGTTAAGGGCTGTCAAACTCTCGGCGCCACATGCTGGCCACGCCCATGCCCAGTTTAGCGAAGGGGAATAAAGTCCTGATACGTCACATGACGTTACCGTGATGACGTAAGTTTGACACCCCTGCTCTAGTTTCTTCATTTATCTTTTGTATGACAAAGTTGTTAGCTAGCCAAGTCACTCAGCAATTACTTTAGTTCATTCTTTCAATTACATTCCCTCATTCAGCAATCCATATCAGTTTGGCTCAGTCACTTTTTCTGAAAAAGAGGTGGTTCGTTCCCCACCCATCCATACATGTTGCCTGGAGAATCGTGTTTCTCCCTTGGATGTCATTCATTCAGAATTTGCATATTTTCCAAAATCCATCTTTGTGTTTTCCTCACTGTTGCTATTTACAGAGTAACACACCACTTTTCCCGATGCATAGATTCCTCTATTCATTATGCGCTCCTAACAACATAGTTCCATTTCTAATAATCGTTATTCACCTCAATTGTATCCTTCCCTCTTCCCTTAGTTTCACTGGCACACATATTTATTTCTTTTCCCTGTTTGCCATTTTACATTTCAGGTTGCGATTTGCCTTACCTCCAGGTGAATCTGCAGGCTAATTCCCCAGGAATAATTGCATTATTACTGCTATTGCTATTTTTATTTCTAATGGAAATTATATTCAATTATCGGAAAAAGGACCGGTATCAGAGCTGAACGTGATTTGGTAGGAATAACTGATTTTTTTACAAAATTGCTATTTCATTTCTTCTAAAAAGAAATCCCAATTAAGCAGAATATTTATGAGTCAGAGCTGAAATGGGTGCTCACTGTTGATGTTACCTACTTTAGGTAATGAAATCTCTGCTGCAAGGAAAAAACTAAACTCAGAGAGCACCCAAAAAGAAATCCATCCCTGGTTAAGTGAGAAATGAAATACTTGCTATCAGGGATGACCTACCCTTTTGGAGAACATGTTTAAAATCAGGCAAAGCATACAATGTAAAACAAAAATTATTCTATTAAAATCGTTACTTGGAGGAGTTAGGAAAAATAAACACAGATAAGTTAGATTCACATGGTGGCACTGTTGAGCTGTGCTTACTATACAACTTGCAGCATTTTTAACAGCTTTTGACTGAAATGTTTTTAAAATAGTTAGCCTGCAAAATATAAAGGAAAATATTTTAATTAAAAATTGGGGGGGGGGGGGTTGGTCCTTGAAAACTGGAATTTTGTATATAGTGGAACAATCCTCTTACTCTAGTAAAATGCATCTAGTTCTAATTGTAAAGCACACAATGCTGAAATAGATGGGTCTTTCTAAAATATTTATTCTCTAAAATTGGAATTAGTTGTACTTTTTAAAATAGATAATCCAAGGGTTTTTCACCATCAGTTCCTTTGTGTCACCTGTATTCAGATGGGGCACTTGGAGTCAAGAAAGTCTGGTCTCTAAAATAGATATTTCTCTTTGTCATCCAGGGGTGTGTCTTCTGGTTATGGCCAACAAGACCAAGATGACAATTGCAAAAATGGAGCTTTGATCACATTGTTGGGGCTGTCATCTTGATTTTCTTTTATATTTTCTGTGGAAACCCGTAGTGGTATCACTTTAACCTTTGAACCTGCATAAGGATCTCTCCTTCCCCTCCCTCTCTCCCTCCCTCCTCCTCTTCTCCTTCTCTTCCTCCTCCTTCCTTCCTTCCTTCCTTCCCTCCCTCCCTCCCTCCCTCCTTTCTTCCTTC